AAAAATGAATGGGGTATGAATACTTTCGCAAGGCACTGTATGCACACACACACACACACATACACATACACACATATCTATATATTTTTTTTTTTACTTTTTTTTTACTTGTCAAAAATGGTTGACATAAGATTTTATTTTTAAGGCAATTCTGAAAAATTCAAGATATGCAGTAAATGCCATTAAAGTGTTTAGAATATTATATATTAACTATTATAATTGCCTTTAGTTATACTGCCCAGCCCTGGCTTAACTACTATGAATTGGTGAATGAGTGAACACAGGGTGCATTTCCTAATTCATAGTCGTGTGCTGTGTCACTTCCTGTCAGGAGAGGATTTCCTGTTAGCTGGCGGATGGTTTGGGCCAGGACAGTGAACTATGACAAGGACATTTACAACTACAGCATACAATGTCTAAATGAGTACTTCTGCTAAGACAAGCATCTCTATTTAGGGTTAGTTAGTAAGGATAGGAAACCTTGATATCACCACAACCTGAGGGTGGACCACTTATTGTGAACCACTTATTGTGATGGGCAAACACCTCACATTTTCTTAAGAGGTTTGTAGGTGGTTGGTGAGGCTCCTGCAAGTCTGGGAACGATGACCCTGATCTTTCATCTTAAGGAGGATGGGCACACACACACAAACACACACACCTCTTATCCATGCCTGTCATTTACACTGGCATGTGTGGAATGAACAGTGGAGACAGAATGAGAATGAATGAGAGATCAAGAGACAGGCGATCATTAGTGTCAGATCAAAGCACACACACACACACACACACACGCACACACACACACATATCTATATATTTTTTTTTTTACTTTTTTTTTACTTGTCAAAAATGGTTGACATAAGATTTGATTTTTAAGGCAATTCTGAAAAATTCAAGATATGCAGTAAACGCCATTAAAGTGTTTAGAATATTATATATTAACTATTATAATTGCCTTTAGTTATACTGCCCAGCCCTGGCTTAACTACTATGAATTGGTGAATGAGTGAACACAGGGTGCATTTCCTAATTCATAGTCGTGTGCTGTGTCACTTCCTGTCAGGAGAGGATTTCCTGTTAGCTGGCTGATGGTTTGGGCCAGGACAGTGAACTATGACAAGGACATTTACAACTACAGCATACAATGTCTAAATGAGTACTTCTGCTAAGACAAGCATCTCTATTTAGGGTTAGTTTGTAAGGATAGGAAACCTTGATATCACCACAACCTGAGGGTGGACCACTTATTGTGAACCACTTATTGTGATGGGCAAACACCTCACATTTTCTTAAGAGGTTTGTAGGTGGTTGGTGAGGCTCCTGCAAGTCTGGAAACGATGACCCTGATCTTTCATCTTAAGGAGGATGGGCACACACACACACACACACACACACACACACAAACACACACACACCTCTTCTCCATGCCTGTCATTTACACTGGCATGTGTGGAATGAACAGTGGAGACAGGCATGGATAAGAGGTGTGTGTGTGTTTGTGTGTGTGTGTGTGTGTGTGTGTGTGTGTGCCCATCCTCTTTAAGATGAAAGATCAGG